CTTTATATCAACATAATTCAGATTAATTCTACAATTAAAATCCTTTCATTGCTTCTCTCTTTCATCTCCTCAAGGAAAGATAATTAAATGAGAGAATACAATGAACACATTATATATCATATAGTTTAAAATTTGGAGTGAAAAAATTGAAACAACTAACCGGTTCAGTATACTTTTCTAGAAGTTCACGTGCACGTGATGTAGCAGCAGCTTCTTTGATAAAGGCCGTTACTGTACGCTGTTGTTCTCCCCTTTCTGAAAAGATGTAAAATATTATATATGAAATATAATGGTTTATTGATTTTCTCCACAGTTCATACCGTTTTCTCTGCTAACATGCGGTTATGAATTAAAAAAAAAAAAAAACCAAATAATAAAGCTAGATCGCTAAAATGTCATTGGTCAATTTTCATTAAAACAAAATTAATCTATTTAACTCAACAAAAGTTGTACGGGATTTTTTTCTCTCACACATCATGTCTTACACAAAATTACACATAAATCAAATCGAAAGATACAATTGCACAGATAACAAAATATTGCAAAAATAACATTTAAAACAACAGAAATTAGAGAAAATAATCTAGTACAATTGCGATCAATGTGCAAATTTATTTGAATCCACTACAAATATGAGTTAATACATGAAGAAGCAACAAGCTTGGGAACGGAAGGAATGAATTTAATTTCTAGATCGAAAAAATTTAAAGTAATCCATGTAAGTTAAAATTTAACGTAACCCAAGTAAATTAAAGTAACCCAAATTTAAAGTAATTCAAAGTGATCACTTTGGCATTTAAATACAGCAAAATTATATTTAAAACAATTTTTATATAACAATTATTAAAAAAAAATTAAGATCTACAACAATTATTAATTAATAATAATTGTTGATAATCAATGATTATTAATTAATAATAATATAACCAACAATTACTAATTAATAACTAATAATTATTAATAATACTTAATAACTAATAATTACAATTACAAACAACTTTATATTTTGAGATATGATCAAATAATCAAATCTTGCTATACTTGGATTAATTTGGCATAATTATATTATGAAATCAGCAGCAATAAAGATTATTCCACTTCATAGTCCGAAAAGTAACACCAGCTTTTTGAACCTATCAGGTTTAATATAGGTACAAGCAGTTGGATCAGTATACAAAAAGACTCGTTTTCTATATACTACAAGATATTGGAAATTGGGAGCTAACCATTAATGAATATTCCAACATTTGAAACAAGAAAATTCATGATTAATTCAACATTTTAAGTCTTAAACTTAGGTAAGCATAAAGCAAATAAGAGAAGAAAACTGTAAATTTTTGAATAACCAAAAATAAAAGTAAAAAACCCTTCATATGATATAATACTCGATAAAAATTCGTATCGAATCAAGTTTTAAATAATCATAACCGATAAATCATAACTAGACGGAACAATGCATGAGCTATAATACTAGACCACTTTACATAAAAATCAATGAAGAAATTTTTTGAAATTTGCATAAAAATAGAAGCAGATAAGGAAATAGGAATTGCGAATGAAGTGAAATATCATTTGAATAAAGTCGAAACATTATTTTGTCCAATTATTGGAATTAATCGATAAAGTGAAACTAAACCATTACTTCTCTCGCATAATCAAAAATATTTTTAAGGTAATAATGAAGATTAAGAATTAGTAATTACTTCTGAAATGTAAAGGAATAAAATACTTTTTTATCCTTTTTTTTTCGCAAATTATTTCAGAATATCTCATTATCTTTTACAACTTCGAAAGAATAAAATAAGAAATTCTATGAATATTAAAGTCATCTATGAAATAATTTGAGTAATGATAAATTACCAAGAAATGTAGATTTAATCATGCAAAGAATGATGTCAACTAATATGACTGATTTAAAAAAAGAAAAAAAAATTCACATGTTTTGAATTATTAGAATCAAATTCTGATAGCAAATTCCTTAACTACTATCATAATTAAGCTAAGCATATAATACAGAAATTGGATCGAAAAAAAAACCCTTGAATTCAATAAAAGTAACTAATGACAAGCATGAAGCTGGTGAAGTTTCCAATTCATTAATTTGTAAAATTAAAAAATTATTCCAGCATAATAACTACCATAACTAATAGTTATGATTTCCATTTTTTTTTTTT